TAAAATATATATTTGTATGAGATAAATTTAAATGAATCTATATCATGCAATATCTAGAATTTAAATTATATACCATGAAATGTGCTTAGCACCGCACGTGTTTTCATATTAACGTGTTCGCTCAGCGGTAATCGCGCGGTACGCAGTCCGATTTCAGTTGCTCTTTTATGGCATAGGCCCTTATGATGATTATGATCAACCAAACCTCCAATCACATATACAAAATCTCCTTCAATACGATCTAGCACAGTGTCAGACTCACAAGTGAGATACACTATCTTCTCCTTTGGGAAGACATCATTGTGCGTTTGGTCGAAATGGTATTTTAAATGCCAATTCTCCCAGCCATCATTTCGTTTAAGGCTACTATGAATTCGTCCGTCAGTTTTGATGCCGGTGATATGCAGATGACCTGGACATTTGGAACGACGGTTAATCGTATAAATGCGTAGGCACTGTTTGATACATTTCGACACGTCGCGATCATGCATCAAATCGTCGTAGTCCAAATCTATAGCAACACAAAGCTTACCCGTCTGCTGCTCAGTGCACTGAACTTGACGTTTCTTTAACTCTTTTCGTGACGGTCCAACACGTGCTGGTAATCCTTGAGCATGTGCTTCAAGACGCTTTTGTTTCTGCCTTTCACGCTCTTTCAGACGTCGGACTTTTTTTAGCTCTTCGTATTTTTCCAATCTTTTCTGTTTTTTCAATTGGTTCTTACTCAGTGGGGTTGCAGGCGTTTCCCCAGGTCCTCGCGGTTTTTTTTCGATTCCGGATTCATTTTCTGTTTGCTGCTTGGCATCTCCAATTTTTTGCAATTTTATTTGCGGCTCTAAACTTTCTTCCGGCATTTTTGTTTTTATCAGGCATCAGCTGAGCGAAATTTGTGTAGAACATGGGCAAAAAGAAAAGCAGAGTTGTTAAAAGTGTTAGAGCGTTATAAACCGAAATAATAGCTCGGTCAGAATGGGCACTGGGAGGCGAAAGCCGGCAAGGTATTCGAAGTTGCGTCCATTACCGGCGGTCTTCACGTGCTGGAAAATCTCCCTTGCGTGACGATGCATATTTGGCCTGAAAAACTCGAAATGTGTGAAAAAAGTGTGCTGTCAAATGCCTAGTCAACAAAACTCTATCTCGCTTGCAAGACGCCGCTTTCAAGTTGTTGCGCATGTAAATCCAAATTAGCTGTTTTTTATTATCGCCCAGACAGTAAAGACCCCGCCAGATAGAAAATCTTTTCTGCCCCGCAGGATGCTTTTGACATGGCGATACGGCACAATGGGCGCAACTGTTTACCTCAACTGTTGCGGAAATGCTGTCAATTGTTGAGTTAAACAGTTACGCCTTAGAGACGGTATTATACACAAACTGTGAAACGAGTTGCTGGTATTTGTAAACAAGCAAAATCAAATAAAAGATCACAAAAAGAAAAACTTTATTAACATGATTCAATAATTAAAAGTTTGTTCACTAGTGACATTCGAGTTTTGACACTTATCTATTTATGTACATTAGAGTAATCCAAAAATGCATGTGAAAAAGTAAAGTCGGAATTTTAATGCCCTCACCCAGAAGGATTGTTCTATATCGAAAAATATACCCCTATTTTTTTAATTTGAAATCAAAAAATATTTAGAGGTCGCTCAAAGCGCTCAAAGTTTTCCAAACCAATCCATTGAGTGTTTTGTTAACGGATTTGCATACATTTAGAAAATATTAGCATAGTCCGGTCTACTTTAAATTGCCATAAAATTGTTGCACAGTGTTATAAACCTTTATGGATTTTTGAAGCTTTAAAAACTTTGCTGCAATAAAAAAGGTTTACAAATTTGAAAAAGTTTTCATCAAAACGTTTCCAAAATTTTGACTGACATCTAAATAAACTACGTGATTTGGAATAGAAGATGCCACATTGGCAACGCATGCATTGCCGAAACTGACAAAGTTCGCCCAACTCTCTACCCATTGACGCGCATAAATGCGTCAAAACCACAATGTATGGAACGAATTCAAACCAGCTGATTTTTGGCCAATCAAATTGAGGCGTTTCGTTTGCGGCAACGTTTTCATTGTGCCGTCTCGTCATGTTTAGCGCGTCTTGTCAGTCAAAAGCAGAATTGAATTTCTATCTGGCGGGGCATTTATGTCACAAATTGAATACAACCAGTGTTCGGGCTTCAATTATGTGGTAGAATCTGGAAAAAATGTTGTTGATTTCAAAAAAATGTGGCAGATCTCAGGTTTGGATCAAATTTTATACAAAAATTAAAAAAGTTCTGCAAGGTTTCACCTAAATTGTAAAAAAAATATTTTAATATAATAAAGTGCAAGATTGAAGTTGCTAAAAATTGCATTGAGTTTTGCCAATTTTTTTCCTTGACAGTGTGAAGTAGTTCCTTCCATATCATGATATTTTTCGAACACATTTTGAGAGATTTCTGCAACTTTGCGGAGTGCTGCCAGCTCTTCTTTTTATCACATCATGATGTAGCGAACAAATGTGGCACGTTCCAGAAACCGGTACTTGGGATTCGCCGATTTTGACAATTCTCAAGTTAAAGTAAACAACGCCTTAGAAACTTTAGATGCAATGAAATTTGCTAATACTTTCACAAAAATCGCCGTTTTTTAACATTTTAGCTATTGTTTTTATAATAGGTTTATTCTTGTCGTTATCGAAGTTTTTTTAACCGGAAAATTTTATTACCGAAAAATGTAACCAGTTCTTCTCACCGCGATTTTAGTACGCTGGTAATTCAGTTAAAATATTCAACAATACAGCTATGAAGAATTGTGTAAATTCTGGCATTGCATATTCCACGGGGCAATACTTTGTTACAAGCTTATGAGATGGTAACAAAATTAATCGGTTACAAAAGTACACAGAATGCGAGAAGGGTTTAAAAATTGACCGGTTACAAACTTTTCATTACCAGCGCAGAATAGACCTGTCACGTTCTTTGCTAGATGCTCACAAAAGTGCAAATCTATCACAATGTGGTAACGCCCGATCACTGAATACAACCCTGTCTGTTCTACCTCCGAAAAAAGAA